AGCCAGTGAGTCGTCCTGCCAGCTGGTGCTGCCGGCTGGTGCTGCTGGCTGGTGCTGCCGGCTGGTGCTGCTGGCTGGTGCTGCCGGCTGGTGCTGCTGACCTCGCGGTTGTGCGTCACGAGCCGCATGGTCACTCGGCCATACGGAGCCTCGCGGAAGGCGCGCTGCGCAACCTGTTCACAGCTCGACGGCGTGGAGAGGCGCCATCCACGGCTGCCGTAGCAGGAGGAGGTCCCGCCGCTGCGCCACCGTCGCAGTGCGCAGGACGGTGTTGCCTGAGTACTGACCAAGAGACACTCATGATGGGGCTGGTCGACGCAGCAGGCGGTTGGAAGGCGGCGCTGCCGAGCGTCAGCACGACGTCGCCCGCGAGGAGGCCGACGGCGCGCGCCTGGTCGGGAAGGAGCGGTCGACCTCCTCGGCGACTCGGGGTCTAGTCTTGGTCCACCGCGGTGGTCCGCCCCCTGGCGAGCCGCGCGCCTCCTCGCCAGCCACCTCGAGCACCGTCACGCAGGGCAGGCCCGGCGCGGAGCCGAGGTCGATGCCTGCGCGGTGGGCCGACGAGGAGTGGCGGGCGGGCTCGCTGGAGGAGGGCAGGATCCTCAGCCGAGGATGCCCCACGGGCGCGGGTACTGCGGCCGGACCTGCGGGGGGGGTAGGGCGGGGGCGGAGGCAGGGGGGGGGGGGGGGGGGGAGGGCTCAGGCTTCAGAGACTCAGGCTTCAGAGACTGTTGGTTCAGGCTCAAGGGATGCAGACGGTGCAGCCCGAAGCTGTGGTGGGGCGAGAGGCAGGCACACAGCGGGACCCGCCTCCGAAGACGGGGCCTCGCTGCCGTCTCGAGGCTGCCTCTCTCGGGCCTCTCTTGGGCTGCTGCCCGCCCCCGTGCGATCTCGGCGCGATCTCGGACCATGAAGATGAGGCGGTACCCTCCCCCGAGGTTGGAGCGAGTCACGTCGGGCGAGGCGACGTTCTCGATCGCGTCGACCCAGAGGCGCCGCTCCTCGGCCGACGAGGCCTGGAAGAAGTACGTGCGCGGCCGCGAGCGCGGAGTCACTTGGAACCCGAACCGGGCCTACCGAGAGGACATCCGAGAAGGCTCGGGGGAAGACTCACGCAGCGCGGTGTGGCACGGGAGGCGAGGCGAGCCTCCGCGCCGCGCCACTCCTCGGCACCGAGAGAGACGGTCGCGCCGCTCAGGTCCGAGATGCCGCGGTCGGTCGTGCCCGCGTTTGGACCGGGGTAGCCCCAGCGGAGCTCGCCTTTTGGAAGAGTGGCGAGTGGGCGATTCGGGCGTCGGCGGGCTAGCTTGTGGGTTCGATTGAGGACGACTGCCTCTTTGAGGCCGGCTACTGTGCTTCTAATGCGTGCTGTGCTGTGCGGTGCCCTGGGCTGTGAGTCTGAGGCTCGTAGGACGACCACTCGCCTTTGCCGCCCGCCCAGAGCTCGACCCAGCGAAGCTTAAAGATGGCGCCCATCTGGTCCGCCTTGTATAGCTCGCCGCGCAGCAGCGACGAGGGAGCGGCCATGCGAACGAGCTCTTCGCACTCTAGGGGTCGGAGCGATGTCTCGCTCCACTAGTACCTCGCTTTCGTACTCTGTTTGTCTTGCGGCGGCGCGGTCGGACGGGGAAGGAAGTGCAAAAGAATTCTCCGGGCGGATAGCGAACGGGAGCCCGAACAAAGCCGTTTGGAATGGAAGCTACAATGCAGTGTCTGGGGGGGGGGGGGTGCGTTCCATTCCGTGTCCGGCCAAAGCGCCGCACGCTGGCCAGGTACTTCCAGCCTGCTGTGGGAACAGCTGACGCAGTCTCGCCAAGGCTCGCCCCAGCATCTCGGGTTGACTCGAAGAGGCAAACTGGGGAAAAGAGAAAAACATGGCTGTCCTGCAGCTGCTCCCTGACTCGCCGTGCACGCACATATGTGTTGTATATGAGGCTTTCCGCCGGCCGCACCTACGCGCAGCGCCCCGCCGAGCAGCTAGTCGACTCGTCAGCCTGGCCGTCGCCAAACGTCCAGGCCTGGCCGACGTCCGGGCAGACCGCGATCCTCGTGCGCCTGCTGCAGGAGCGCGGCCTCAGTGCGGTGAGCATTGGCTGCGGCGAGGGCGCCTTTGAGGCGCAGCTCGAGGAAGCCGGCGTGCCTGTGCGCGGCGTAGACCTCGACGTGTTGCCATCATACAAAACCATGCGGTGCTTTCTGCGAGGCGGCATCATCCGCGTGCGTCCGGACGAACTCTTCCGCATCGACGAGCCTTCGCGCACGTGTCTCTGCTTCGTGTGGGGACGCGCGCTGCCCTGGCGCGAGTACCTGTCTTGCTACCCGCAAGTGCCGCTGGTTTGCATCATTGGCGAGGCGGCCTGTACTCCAGAGGAGTCGGTCGCCACCGTGCCGAGCAGCAACGCGCTGGAGGCAGACGCGAGCTGGAGCCGCCTTCACTGCGGGCCGGCTCGCGCCGTGCACGGAGGCGCTGTGATGTGTGTGTACGAGCGGGCGCCCGCCTCGCTGACATCACTCGCCGCCGACGAGCTTCAGCTGATGCTGCCATGGTGGGGCCTGCGAGACGCTCGCGCCGCCGCTTGCTCCTGCCGCGTGATGCACTCTGCCCTCGGCGAGGCCGTCGCCGCGGCCGCCACAGTCGTCGCTCGGCTGGAGAGACTGAGCGCACAGATGTACTCGGCCCGGCTTCCCCGACCCGTGCAGGAGGCGAATGGGATGATGCCTCGCTTGCTCACCAGCGCCCTCGCGTTGGACGAAGAGGAGGCGCCGAAGCGCCTGCTGCCAGACGTCCGATTCGATCCGGACGGCTCCGCCCGCGGCCGCTTCTCGAACACGTTTGCGGCGTCGTGGCTCGACTGGGGCTCGATGGGCCTCGCTGTCGACGAAGCTGCGACACTCTCGGAGGCGATGCGAACTGATTTGGCTGCCAATCACGACCTCGCCAACGCTCTGCTCCTGTTGAGCTTGAGCTGCAACCCCATTCGAGACGCGGGCGTGACGGCACTCGTGCAGGTTCTGCCCGAGCTGAACAGCTTGACTGCCCTGGAGATCGAGGACTGCCAGGTGGGCGACGCAGGCGCAGCGGCGCTCGCCGCCGCGCTCCTCGCCGAGCCGCGTGGTGGGACTGCCTTCAGAGGACGGCTGCGCCGCCTCTGCCTGGGATGCAATCCGATTGGTGACGACGGCTGCGTCGCGCTGGCGCGGGCGCTAACCGGCCCTCGCCTCCTCCACCCCACGCACGCGCGCGGGCTCGCAGTCTTGCAGCTCGGCGACACGGACGTGGGTGACGTGGGCGCGGAGGCGCTCGCCGGCGCGCTCGAGCAGGGAGCGATGCCGGACGGACTACAGCTCTGGCTCGCCTCCACTCGGGTCTCGCAGGCTGGGCGGGAGGGGCTTATGAGGGCTAGCGCGGCGCGTTCAGGCCTCCGAGTTTGCTGGTAGAAACCTGTAATTTTTTCGTCTGAGTTCATCGACTCCGAAGCGAAAAATGCTCTACCAGTGCCCTATGTGCAGAGGGCAGTCGCTGTGCGGTGGCGCGGCGTGCGCGATTTCAGGATCGAGTCACGCGCGCACTCAAGTGACCCGCCACCGTGCGTCTCGAACCGCGCGCGCCGCCACGCGACTGGAGCGCCACATACGCCGCCTCGCCGTCTCGTTGCTCATCCCTCATCGCTGCCAGAAGGGCTTGTTCTTCTTCGATTTCTCGGCCGCGAGCGCCGCCTGAGGCACACGTGCCATGGACGTGTCATGGCGACGCAAGCTAGCTTCCCTGAAAGAGGCGCAGCCGCCTCGAGCTCCCTCTGCTTGCGCTTGCGCTTGGCGTCCGGCGTCACCGCCCAGTCCGGGTCCTGACCGCCGCGCAGCTCCGACCTACACGTCGTGTGGACGCGTCATTGGACGTAGCCGCACCACTCAAGCTACGGGCAGGCTTGTCACTTGAGCTCGTCATCCGCGGCGTTAGAGATGAGCTTCTGGACTGTGACGATGCCGATGTAGGGCGAGACGATGACAGCGCCGGCAATGACCGCCGTCGCCACCTTGGCCGCCTCCTCCTCGTCGTCGGAAATCGCTGTCAACAGGCTCGCCCGGCCCGCGGCGCCAGCATCCAGTGGCCGCGCCAGCGCCGCCGTCGGAAGCGCCACCGCGCCAAGCGCCGCACCTAGCACTGACGGAAGGGCGGCGCGGCGGCCAAGAAGCATGGTAGCCGAAGGCGTAGTGGCAGGCAGGGCCGTGAGGGCCGAGACAGCGACGAGCATGAACATGGGAGAGCAGAGTTGGTGTCCTTTGCGTGCCCCCCGGCGAGGAAAAAAACAAACCCGGCTTTCGCGGACTCCCGCTTTGACCTCGGGCCACTGCATCACATTGGACTCCGAGTACGAGAAGATGATGGCAGACTACCTCCAGGCCGCCCACGTGCAGGAGGTGGTCGACATCCTGCTCGAGCTCGACAACACATCGTCGCGCCACTACTCGATCGCGGATCAGGCGCGCACTCAGCCCCCCGCGTTGCGCCCGCCCGACGCCTCCGCCGCAGCGCTCGCCGCTTTCGGAGCCACATCGCATATTGCCCACGCACTCGCGTCTGGCTAACGTACCTCTATCTCGCCAAACGCGAGCGTTTTTCTAGTGCCCGGGAGAATGACAGTGACGTAGCGGTGCCTGCCGCGCGGCCGCAAGGGAGGGGGTGGGGGGAGTGAGATTTCGCTGCCTGGCCGCCCCTATAACAGGGGACTGGTAGTAGGGTGCGTAGGGCGCGCGGCGACTAAAAGGCGGCGGCTGAGGCACACGAACTTGGACTTGGCAAAATCGCACGGCGTCGTGACTGGCCCCTTCTTGCTTTTTGACCAGGCGAACGGTCCGCCGCACTTCACCGCCTTTTCTCCAGCCTTCTTGCCGACCCAGACCTCGAAGTCCTCGAGATACTTCTTCGCCTTTGACGGCTTGTTATTGGTGTCCCGGGTGACGGTCACGGAGCGGACGGGCTGCTGATTTTCCAGGGTGACCTAACGTGCGCGGGAGGAGCCAACTATAGCGCCAAAAAGGGGAGAGGGCGAGGAACGCCGGGTTGCCTTGGCGGAGAACCACGGGTTCTTCCTGTTCTTCTTGCTTTTGCCAAAGGTCTTGCTTTTGCCATCGGTCACCTTGGCCAAGAACTGCGGGCACGAGGCGAGGGGGTGAGAGACACACACATGGTATCAGACGCTTTGTATGGAGCGCGGGGGCGGGTGCGTGCACCCGCTTGGCGAAAGCAGTAGAGCCAGCCGACGTTCGCGGGTTGCTTAGCAAAAGTGGACCCGCTGGAGGCGGTGGGAGCGGGCTCGGAGGCGGAAGTGGCAGCGGACTTGGTGGCGGCGGCACAGGCGCCTGGCCAGGTGGATGCGGTGGTCGCGGGGGTGGTCGCGGGGGCGAAGGGCACTCGAGCGAGCCCCACGAGTAGGTCCAGGCGCTCGTCTGAGCGTCGAAGCCGGCGTGGATGAGCGCCTTGTTGCAGTCGCTGAGGGAGGAGGCGCCGTAGAACATGCCGCTCATTTCTGTGGCCGCCGACACATCCCACGCCCCGATGTCCTGGTCGAAGGAGGAGGCCCACATGAACATGTCCAACATGTCGGTGACGGCCGACACATCCCACGACCCGATGTCCTGGTCGAAGGAGGAGGCCTCGAAGAACATGCCCCGCATGTTGGTGGCCGCCGACACGTCCCACGACCCGATGTCCTGGTCGAAGGAGGAGGCGCTGTCGAACATGGATTTCATATTGGAAACCGCCGACGTGTCCCACGCCGAGATGTCGGGGTTGCACGTGTCCTTGCCGGTGGTGGAGCCGCCGCCGTTGCACCACGACCAAGCGCTGAACAGACACTGCATGTCGGTGATCGCGCTCACGTCCCAGCCCGAGATGTCGCCGTATGTCGCGCGGGCGGCCGCCTCATCGCTGCACCAAAGGTCGACCGCGGCCTGCAGGGCCGGCTTGTCAGCGAAGGTGCCCAGGGTCGGCGGCGAAGAAGGAGGGGGCGAGGGCGGCGGCGGCCGCGGCGGCAGCGGCGGCAGTGGTGACGGCGACGGGGAGGGCGGGGAGGGTGGTTGATTGCTCAGCGCCGCAGCGGCCGCCTGGAAGCCGGGCACGGAGCTGGCGAGCGAGGATGCGAGCATGTCCCACTTGGGCTGGTTTACCGAGTTGTAGAGGCCGCCGGTGTCGAACGAGTTGTCGTTGAGCGACCAGTAAAAGTGCCCCAAGCCGCGATCGATGAGGTACTCCTGCATCCGCTCCTGCCACGGCCCTGTGTCGTCCCACAGGCCGCCCCACTCCCCGAGCACCACCGGGGTGCCCTCCTCGGACGGGATCAGTCCCCAATGCGTGTCCCACACCTCGGGCGTCCCTGGGTGGTTCGGGTTCTTCGAGTCATCGCCGTAGGCGTGCGGCGACAGCACCAGCTTGCTCGCGTCCGAGAGCTCGATCGGGTGAGCACGGTGCGGGTGGACGGCCTCGCCCCACCAGCACGTGTGGCCACTGTGTAGCCCCGACGGGTGGTTGCGGCACCACCCGCCATTGTTGGCGATGCCTTGCACGAAGATGAGCCACCGCGGGCAGCGAGCGAGCACGTGGTTGCCGAGGCGCTCGGCAGCTAGGTCCCAGTCTGTCCTGCGGTCGCCGCTGCCCCAGGTGGCGCCAAAGGGCTCGTTGTAGAGGTCGGCGGCGATAACGTTAGGAGATGCACAGTACCGCGTCACGAGCGAGCTCCACGCGTCGAAGAGTGGCTCCTCGTCCTCGCTGCTGCAGCCACCCTCCACGCTCTGGCACCACAGGGCGCTGTTGGTGTCTGTGGCGATGACGTGGATTCCGAGCATCACGTAGATGCCAGCGTCCTGAAGCCGGCGCACGAGGTCATCCAGCGCCGCCAGGCTGCGGAGCCCCTCCCACTCCCTCCCGCACGAGCCCGTCAGGGTCGGATTAGAGGCAACGTGCTCCACCGAGAGCGGCAGCCGAACGCTGTTGAAGCCGTGCCGCGTGAGGAAGGCGATGTAGTCGTCCACCGCGTAACCCAGGTTTGCCCACCCCTTGTAGAGCTCGTGCACACACGCGGTGTCGCTCTGGAATCCAAACCAGGACGCGCCCTTCAGGAGCAGCTCCTGCCGCCAGTGGCGCGCGCTCAGCGGCTCAAGCCACAGTCTTCCGCCGTCGCCGAGCACCTCGAAGGGCGTGGAGAAGTTGGCGGCCGGGTCAGAGGCCCAGGCCACGGCAGGGTACGGCGGCGGTGACGGAGAGGGGGGGGACGTCACGGCAGCGCGGCCAGCTGTGCCCCCGATAAGCGAGCGCGAAACATACGGCAGTAATATAAGGAACTGCCCGCCGTTCCTTCTATTCCCAGCTCGTGCCCCTTTTTCTTTTTGAAGCCTAAAAAGAAAGTGTGAGCTCTGTTCTTGATTTGCCAACAATACACCTAGGAATTCCGACCTCGTTCGCCCTGAGAGCCGCCTCGTCGAAGGCTCCCCGCTCCTTCGCGGCCTGCTGCGCCCGCACCACCTCCATCGCGTTCGCCGTCTGCGAGTTGAGCTTCGCCACCTTCGCCTTCCTCTCCCGCGCCGCCGCCGCCTCCCGATCCTCGCGGCGGTCCGCCAGCGGGTTGTCACCGGCGTCAGCAGCCACGATCATGGCCGTGACGGCCTCGCCCGCCATGTCGATTCTCGGTCGATCGATCGCGCGTCCCAAAAGTCGCCAAAAGTGGCGGCGAGTCGCAATCACCCGCCCGCCGTCCCGGCGGTCCCGCAGCTCGCGCGCATCTCCCTCTTAACCCACCTCTAACATCACAATAGGGAATTCCTACAACTAAAAAAAAGCGCGTTCGTCCGGTTCCCGCTTTGACTGGCGGAGGAGTGCTCGGCAGCGCGTCGCGCGTCGGGCCATGCACTGCATCTTCGACGTGGCCGTCACATTGGACTCCGAGTACGAGAAGATGATGGCAGAGTACCTCCAGGCCGCCCACGTGCAGGAGGTGGTCGACATCCTGCTCGAGCTCGACAACACATCGTCGCGCCACTACTCGATTGCGATCAGGCGCGCACTCAGCCCCCCGCGTTGCGCCCGCCCGACGCCTCCGCCGCAGCGCTCGCCGCTTTCGGAGCCTTCGCCGCCGCCGCCGCTGCTCAGCCACGGCGACGGACCGCGCTCCGCAGCTTGCACGACGTGCTGGACTGGGACGGCGCGCGAGGCGCGTGGCTCGGCACCTTCCTCGTGCACGAGCCGAGCCGCGCGCTTCCCCTCTTCGAGGAGGCGATCCGTGCCGTCCAGCGCTCCGTCATGGCGGCGCACGAGGACGGCCACTTCATGTCGGTCAAGCCGTCGGTCCACGTGCGCCGCCCGCGCTCGCCCCAACCGCCCCTCACCCGATAACACACCGCCAAGAGTCTCCCGAGATCCCCATATCGTCCGATGCCCCCAGGCGCGGCTCTACCGGCTCCCCCACTGCACCGAGCTGCGCAAGCTCAACGTCTCCTCGCTGCGAGCCGACGACTCCAACTGCCTCATCCAGGTGCCGGGCACGGTGATTCGCACGGGGTCAGCTCGAGCCTGCAGCTGGCCGAGCGAGGGCGAGATCGGCCGAGATCAGCCGAGATTAGCCCGAGCTGTAGGCAACTCAAGATGCTGCAGCTGTCGCGCGAGTACGAGTGCGCCAAGTGCAAGTTCCGGCGCAGCGCGAGGGCGGCAGCTCGAGCGGTGGCGTGTGGACGGCGCGGCTTCACAGCACGCTGTGGACAGGCACACGGTGCGGGCGGAGCTCGAGGAGCGGCACCAGATGTCGCTGCCCGCCGAGTGCACCGCCTCGGGGGGGACGGGCAAGCCCTGCGGCGGCACCAAGTCCGCAGCGCCGACGGCCCGCGAGAGGCCCGTGAGAGGAGTGGCGAGTGGCCGTGATCGGAGGCCTCTGGTTGCGAGTTCAGGTTCGAGCTTGTCGACGGGAGCGAGGAGTGCCACGACTACCAGGAGGTGCGCATCCAGGAGCAGGTGCGTGCGCCGGCTCTAGCGGACAGCGCTAGAGCGAGTGGGCGGGATGCGAGTCGTGAGTGGTTGGCTCGGGCCGAGTCCGGCGCCTCATCGAGTCCGGCGCACTTGTCCGGCGCACTTGTCCGGCGCACTTGTCAGGTGCACCGGCTGCTCGTCGGCTCGATCCCGCGCTCGATCACGCTGCTGCTGCAGGACGGCTTCTCTGCGCCAAGCGGTGGACGCCGCGACTCTCGCTCACGAGTGGACGGCCGGTGACAGGACGACCTCATCGACGCGTGCAAGCCCGGCGACGACATCACCGTCGTCGGCACTCTGCGCAAGCGCTGGCGGCCCCTCTCGCGCGGGAACAGGCCCGACGCGGAGCTCGCCATCGACGCGCTGCACGTGCACGTCCACAACGATGAGGTGCATGCCCGCCCGTGTACTCCCAGCAGTACGAGGGGGCCTCAAGAGGAGTAGCGATGAGGCTGGCTCGGCGAGCGCCTCGAGGGAGCCTGGGTGGGCGCCAGAGGACTGTCTGAGGACCGTCTGAGGACTGTGTGAGGACTGTGTGAGGACTGTGTGATGACTGTGTGGCGAGCGGTGGGTCAGGTTGGCTCGGCGCGCGTCTCGAGGGAGCTCGGCGCGGAGTTCGAGGCGTGGTGGCGGGCGAGGCGCGAGGCGGGCATGCCCCTCAAGGCGCACGGGGGCGAGACTGCTGGACGGAGACCGGCCGAGACGGACTCACCAGTCACACACCTTCCCGCTCAAGGCGCGAGACGAGATCGTCGCGATGGCGTGCCCGTCGCTCGCAGGCACGTCCCATGTCCACCGGAGCCGCCACCTCGGCCGCACCTCGGCCGCACCTCGGCACCTCGGCCGCACCTCGCCTCGGGATATCGGCGGCAGGCATGCACCTCGTCGCTCGGCCTCCTCCTCACCCTCACACGATTAGTGAATCAGCCGGCTACCTCACAGGCATGTACCTCGTCAAGCTCGGCCTCCTCCTCACCCTCATCGGCGGCGTCTCACACACCGACGCGAGCAGCATGCGCGTGCGGGGAGAGTCTCACCTGCTGCTCGTCGGCGACGCGGGCACCGGCAAGTCGGCGCTGCTGCGCCACGCCGCGCGCCTCTCGCCGCGCTCCGTCCTCACCACCGGCATCGGCGCCACGTCGGCGGGGCTCACCTGCACCGCCATCCGCGAGCCTGGAGGCGGGCGGGGCGGCTCGAGGAGACGCGAGATGGCGCGGGGTGGCGCGAGACGGCCCGAGGCTGCGGCGAGTAGGCGAGTGGATGCTCGAGGCGGGGGCGCTGGTGCTCGCCGACGGGGGCGTGTGTGCGATCGACGAGTTCGACTCGATCCGCGAGCACGACCGCGGCGCGATCCACGAGGCGATGGAGCAGCAGACGCTGTCCGTCGCAAAGGCGGGAGATAGGGGGAGATATGGGGAGATATGGGGAGACACTGTCCGTCGCAAAGGCGACCGCCTCGCGTGCACGCTGCGCGCTGGACCCTACGAGATCGGCCAGGGATGAGCCGGGGTGCGGCGTGCGGCTAGGCGGGCCTGGTCTGCAAGCTGCGCACAAAGTGTTCCGTCTTTGCCGCGTGCAACCCAAAGGGCAAGGGGTGCGAGCTGTAGCTGAGATCGAGACCGAGCCGAGATGTAGCTGAGATCGGGCCGAGATCGGCCGCGACCACGCCGCGCAGGTACGACCACGACCGCTCGATCTCTGTCAACACGGGCCTGCCCTCGCCCCTCCTCTCGCGCTTCGACGTGGTGCTCCTTCTCCTCGACAAGAGCCGCGCCGGCGGAGGGCGCAGCGAGGAGCACGACCGCGACGTGGCGCAGCACGGAGCTGCTGGCGCGCGGAGCCAGGGCTGAGAGCAGTGTCTCTTCACACCTCGCGGCGTGAGCAGGCGCAGCACATCTTGCGCGAGGCGTGCGGCGAGGAGGGGCCGCCGCCGGAGCCAGACGCAGCGACGTGGCCGCTCGAGAAGATGCGCGCGTACGTCGAGTTCGTGCGCGGCTCCTTCCGGCCGTCTGTCACGCCGCCAGCGCAGCGCGCGATCGTGGCGTACTACTCGCACCAGCGGCAGGCCGACACGACGAGCGAGGCGCGCACGACGATCCGGCTGCTCGAGTCCGCGGTCCGGCTCGCACAGGCGCACGCGCGGCTCATGTTCCGCGAGGAGGTGACCCTGCTCGACGCGATCTACGTCATCGTCGTACTCGAGTCGTCGACGCTCCACTCGCGCCTCGCGGGCGGGAGCATCTGCGCGCTCACGTCGATGTTCGACGAGACGCCCGACGCGACCTACCCGCTGCTGCGTGATAAAATCCTCGACTCGCTCGGCATCGACGCCGAGGGGAGGCCGCTCCGGCAAGGAGGAGGGGGGGGGTACCCGGGAGAACGCCTGGGCGGGTACATGTGAAGTACACTGCCTTCCGCCTTCTTGGACTTGGTCGCATCTCCCATGTCTCCGTGATTGTGCACAATCGTTCAAATATTCACTTTTTACGCCCCGCGAGCCGACTCGAGCGTACCACTCCCGCTGGGGAATGGCCTTGTGTCGTGATATCCCTAGGGCCTCTCCCGGGGCGGGCTCGCACCTCAACCTCTCATAGACCAGAAAGAGAGAAAGAAGCGCTATCGCGTATCGGTATTTTCCTCTCTCTTGGAGCACTTTTTTGCACACTTGGAGTGCAGTTGGCACAGGCAGCCTCACATCCAGGGCCAGGGAGCTAAGAAGCGCATCCAGCGGGCCGGATGATCGGGATCGGGCTACGGGCTAGAGAGCCCTGACCCCTAGGGGGGGTCGGGGGGTGCGCGTTCGCAGGGAAAGGGCCGTAAAGTAAACACGGGTCTCCCCGCGAGGGTTAGCTCTGCGCTCCGGGTTTCCCCTAGCAGCGGAACGCCCCCTCTACTCGGAGCTATTAAACACCAGACACTAGCACGACAACACACACATTCCTCATTGACATCACCACTCGGAACCCCCCGCTCCGCGCACGGCCTCCTCTCACCCCCACTCCGAGGGGGGGCCTCCCTCCCCTCGGTCCTCCCTCCTGTTCGCTTTCCGACGGTTACGCGACGGCTGTGGGGCCCGATCTCCCCTCCTAGCCTTCTTTGGCCGCGGCCCCGCCGTCGTTTCGTCTTCTCTGTCCGATCCCGTTGACTCCGCCTCCGGCGACCCCGCCCCCGACTCCCTGGGCGAAGGCGGCGGCATTGGATCGTCCCACCGCCCCTCCTCGGGAGGTCGCCACTTCTCCCTGGTCGACGAATCGCGCCCGCACCCGCGGCCTTTCTATCGTCATCGGCTCGCCCCCCCCCCCTCCGCCGGCTCCTCTTCAGGCTCGGGGAGGCGTGGCCCTCCCTGCCTGCCGAAGATCCCGGTGGTCCGGCTGCCACCGCGACGGGTCTTCCCCCGGTGAGCTCATACGTCCCGACTCCACTCGCAGAGGCCGCGTCAGCTCATCTCTCGCCCTCTCCGACAACTGACCCCAAGCCCCCCCTGGGGCCCTCCGGCCTCGGCCTTCCGGCTCGCCGCGGCGGGCCCGACATCGGATCGCGGCAACTCCCCTCCCCTAGCTCCTCCTCCCGGGTACTCCAGCCTCCGGCGGGGCGGTTCCGGATCCCTTAGGTTATTCCGAGCGGGTCCATACGGTGGCGGCCCCGCCGGCGGCGGGGGTGGAGGCGGTGGCGGGGGTGGCGGGTCTCAAAAGTTGAAAAATTCTTCTCAAATCCTCCGACGGACAGCGACACGGGCAAATTTGCCGCTGTCAACACAGCGCAGTACCTGCCATACACAATGGATTCTCGCCCCGTCTCCGGACTCGCGAGGTCGCTCTTCTACCTGGTGACGGCCGTCAACATGCACTGCGAGGCCTCTCTCGGCCTACTGAGGTGGGCCGTCGAGGTGCAGGGCTGGCCGTGGCCTTGGCATGCGGCACAACTCTCCTCAGCAGATCGTGTCGCACGACTGGCCCGTCCAGTCTGACGAATAATCCCCGACGACGGCCGGGTACGCCGCGTCGCAGTTGGACTGGCACGCCGAGAAAGCCGAGCTGCAACTGACTGTGGCGTAACGCGACGTGAACTGAATAACATCCTCCGAAGACTCAAACTCGCGGGCGCACGCGTCAAGCCGCCGCCTTACGCCCAGCCGGCGCCGCTGCTCCGCCTCGTTCGAGAGGGCCGCGATCGCCTCGTCCGCCCTCGCCATGTACTCCTCCACCTCCTTCTCGCTGCCGACAGAGATGGAGGCGCAGACGGCGTCCCCTTCGCAGATGTCCGAGGCGAGGCTTCCTGAAGGGCGAGGCGGGGAAAGACTGGTGGCGGGAGGGGTCGGGCGGGGGGGGCGGGTTTGGTGGTGGTGATCGGGGCTGGCAGGCGCGCACCGTTGACGTAGTTGAGCTGGGCGACGCCGTCCTGGATGAGGAGAATGGTGTTGTCGAGGTTGTGAAAGACGAAGACCGCGTGCGTCTCCGAGTACCTATGTTCGGGCGAGAGGGGCTGTGAGGGCGAGGGGGCGGCGGCGGAGAGGGAAGGCACGGGCGGAAGCGGACCACTTCACTTCCATCACATGGTACGAAACCTTTACCGTTGCCCCGTTCTCGGGAAGCGTCAGGTCCACGGCCACCGTCCTCTTGAGCATGTCAAAGCCCATGGCGGGCGCCGCGTACAGCGGCAGGTGGAAGAGCGCGGGCCCGGTGCGCACGACGTCGCCGTTGAGGTCGACGAGGTAAGCGTGGTCCGCGTGCGTCTCCTTGGCGAGCTCGGCGGCGCCAATCGCGAGTCCGAAGAGCGAGGCGCCGAGCAACGCAATGAACAGCACCGACGCAAGCAGCGCCTTGCGCAGCCAATCGCGCTGCTCCTTGATCTCGCGCTTCTCGCGCTCCTCCTTGCCCTGCGCGGGGGGGGGGGGGGGGGTCCTTAATGCAACGGGGGATGGGGGGGGGGCAGGCAGAGGGGCTGGGGGCAGCGGCGCGCCAGGTCCTCGGCCATCTCGAGCAGCTCACCAGCGTCGAGCGTGTTGTTTCCATCTTTGTCGTACGCCTTGAGCCTCTCGCGCGTGGAGCGGAGACTGACACTCATCTTGGAGAGGCTCAGCTCCCCGAGGTTGACGCCTGCGCACGCGGCGGGATTGTGGCGGTGAGGCGGGCGATCACGTTTAAAGCGGCTCATATGAACGCGCACCGGCTTTCTTGGAGGGGCTCGTAGATTTACGCGAGCTTGGGGAAGATGGTCGCGATGCCGGTTGCTCCGTGTCGGCGGGTTCGGACGCGGAGGTGCCGGGATCGCCGCGTTTCGGCGAGGGCTGTGGCTCATGCGAGGGCGAACGCATGGCTAGCAAGCAGCGTACGTACGGGCCACACCCAAACCGGAGCGCGCTCGGTTTGATCGCCGCAAACCTCGGGGCGGGCGTTCCCCCGCTCACGGGGTCCCCCCTGCCCTGGGGGCGAGGGAACCCGAGGAGCCTCGGCGAGACTGCGTCAGCGGTTCCCACAGCAGGCTGGAAGTGACTCGCCAGTCGCCCCCCCCCCCCCCCCCCAGTAGGTTACTCAGATCTCAGTCTCCCAGCTGCTGCCAGGTGCCAGCCGTCGGCAAGCAAGCGGCGGTGAAGCCTGGTCCATGGCCGGGCAGGCGCGCCGCAGGCGAAGCGCTCTTGCGCCTTCTTTCGTCCCTCGAGCCCTTCACGTTCACGGGCGTAATGATACAGTCTGTTGCGGGCATTAAGAAAACAGGATCCCGCGGCACGCCGCCGTTTCTAAGCCTTTCCACACACCCCACACACCCCACGCCGTGGTTTCTTAGCCTCGGCCGGCACCCCACAGGTGAGTGAGACGGGATCTAGGAATGTTTAGGTAAAATGACAATACGGAAGCGCTGGACCGCTCCGGATGTCGCCAGTCCGACTTCTGCCACCCACTTGGGATGACAGGAAGACGCACACACCTCCCATCCACACCGCCCAGAACACCGCAGACTTGCTTGGGCAAAATGTGACCCGAGCCGCCGGGTGCCCGCAGCGGCCTCGCTGGACCAGAAGAACCGGTCCGCGAGTGCTCCGCAGCAGCCTCGCTGAGCCAGAACGTCGGCTCGCGAGGTGGGGTGCTAGTATGAGCCCGACCCAGGTCGTAGTGTTCTTGCTCCCAGCGCTTGCGCTTCGGCGGTTAGTGGTGCACTAACCTCCGAGAAACCCTTCGGGTCGCTCCTCATCGCAAACCCTGTCAGCAGAGTCTCCTACGGGAATGTACGTAAGAGCTACATACACTGAAAATGACAAGTGCGCGCGCCGCAGGCGAAGAGAAATTTTGAGCGGGGCTCCTGTTCACACTCGTGTGTGGGCCCTTTCTCGGGGCCGCGCCTGCGGGGCGCCGCGGTTTCTTAGATTTTCGCGGAAATCGCTCGGCGTGGTTTCTTATAATGGTACGTTTTCTTAATGCCCGCAACAGACTGAAGGCGAGACGGCGTCAATTCCGACTGCGTCAATTCCCTATTTCCGTCGCCGTGCCTCCTGCTGTGGTCTGTGGAGAGGGGTAAAAATGCCACAGTAAACGCGGGAGCTATCATTACGGAAAGACGTACAACGCGTGGGAGATGTTCACCGGGGAGACGGGCAACAGAGACACGCGCCGGGGAGAGACATCTCGGCCTACATCTCGGCTACTTTGCGGATCTGTATCAACTACGCGGCAAGCTCCTCAGGTGGGCGAGGAGCAGGTGCTGCTCGAAGTGCACCAGGCGAGTCGCCGCCTCCTCGGCCGCCGAGAGCAAACCGCCCTGCAAGCCCCGCGCCGCCTGCTCCGCGCTGCAGGCGTAGCCCCGGAGGTGGCGCTCGAAGAGGGAAGCGAGCCGCTCGCGAACCGCCGCCTCGCGCGCGATGGGCTGCCGCAGCGCATCGGCGGGGTCGGCGGCGTCGGCCGCCAAATGTCCTTCGAGCTCCGCCTACTCCCGAAGTGCTGCGGAGACCTGGTCGAGGTCGCATCCCCCCCGCCCCGGGCTGTCGGGCAGCCGTCGCCTCCCCGACGAGTGTCGCGCGCAGGGCGAGGTAGAGCGGGCTGCTCTCGAGGCCCACGTCCGGCACCCACCACGCCTAAGCCACCGGAGAGGCTCACGCCCCCGCGCGCCAGGCGGGGCAGCGGCCGGGGCGAGACCGCGCACCTCGAGCTCGTCGTCGTATCCGCGTGCAGCCTGCGCCGCGACGAGCGACCTCCTCCACCCCTCGCCGCCCTCGCCGCCCTCGCCGCCCTCGCCGCCCTCGCCGCCCTCGCCGCCCTCGCCGCCCTCGCCGCCTCCCGCCCACAGCTCAAGCTCCGGCACGCGCACCTCGGCGGTGTGGACGACGCTCGTCGCGTCGAAGAAGCCGTACCGCTCGAAGAGGTCGAGGTGGTCCGCGTCCGCGTCGTAGCAGAGGGAGACCTCGTCTCCGCGCTCGAGCGCGTAGTTGGCCACCAGCCGCACCGCCCCCCCCTCCTGCTGCAGCCGCGCCGTCGCGCCGACAGACGCGTGGTTGGCCAGGTCGAGGACCTGCTCCACATCACGCGTGAGTGGAGTTCCCATTCTTTCGTTGAAGATAGGCGCGTGCTCGGCGAGGTCGACGGACCGGGATCAGCGCGCGGCCATCCTCGACGGCGAACGCGCGCGTCTGCAGCGCGAGCTTGCCGTGCAAGTATTGGCGCAGCGACAGCGACGGCAACTCGCCCGTGTCTGCGAGCGCCGCATACTCGCGCAGCATCTCGCGGCGACTGCGGCGGCTCCGCTCGAAGGAGAGGCTGCCCGCCGCGCGCTTCGCCTCCTCGCTGCCGTCCTCCCACAGCGCCATCAGGGAAGAGGTTGCCTCGTCGAGGCTGAAGAGCTGACGGTAATACTCTGCGTGCGGGTGCGCGTCGCTGCAGCAGAGGAGAGCGAGTATCAGCCGACCAAAGGCATCGTCGGCGGGAACCATCGCCGCCGCCCTCTCGGGCACGTGAGCCGAGGTCAGGCACCTGTCATCATCATCTCATTCATCAGTCATCGTGGCTGACTAGTTTGCTTCTGCTTGGGCGGAGGTCCGGCACCGGCTCAGAGGGAGCTCTAGCAGCACCTCGTCCGCACCCACCTGCTCACGGCACAGCGCGTGAACGGACGCTGCCCACAGCCCCGAAGGGTTTCCTCCCACCACGCCCGCCCGGCTCGTCGCCACCACGAGGCAGACTCCGCGGCTCGGCGTGAGGCGCGGCTCGACGGCGCACCTGATCACAGCAGCGGCGACGTGGGGACGCCCTTCACGCTGCTCGGCGTGACGCGTCGGCGCGAAGGCGCACACTCTAGGGTCGAGGTGGAGCCACGAGCGAGCTACCGCCCTCATCCGGCCCTCGTCGCCGCTCGCCTGGTGAGTAGCCGAGATCGCCCGAGGTCACCCGAGGTCACTCGAGGTCGCCCGAGGCCGCCCGAGGTCACTCGAGGCCGATTCGCCTCGCCTGGTCGCGGAGCACGCCCATCGACCGAACGCCGCGCTCCGCCGCCCACGCCTCCTCCCCCCCCTCGCGGACCACGCACGCGACGCACACGCCGTGCTCGCCAAGCAGCGAGGACAGCTGCAGCGAGGACAGCTGCAGCGAGGACAGCTGCTCGCGCCCCGGCGGAGACTCCTCCGCCATTTCCGCCGTCCCCTCCCTCTCCTCCTTGTCCTTCTCCTCCGCCTCTCCCTCCACCTCCTCCTCCTCCGCCTCGACGATACACACGAGCGCGTCCCGGCTGCACGCCGCGGCGGCAAGAGCGTCGAGCAGGCCGTGGAACCTCCACAACGCCTCGACGCTCGCCCGGCCGCACATGACCTGTGCAGAGCTGGACGGTGGGAAGAGACGCTGTCCGCAGGGCCCTCCACGTCCGCCACACCGCACATCACCGACGCCGCGGCTGGCTTGGCGCGAAGCAGCGCTCGCAGCCACGCCGCGTGCACAAAGAGCGCCGTGCAGTGGCCCTCGCCTCCGCCGCCTCCGCCGCCCTCGCCGCCCTGCCGTGGAGATGAAGGCGGCACGTCACGCCACGCCATAGGAAGCCGCTCCCTCTCGCCTGTTCACCAGAGCTGGCGTGAAGAGACGCTCCTCGCAGAAGCGAGGAAGCATCACACCCGCCAACGGCTCCGGGTCGAAGCGTAGATGGTTTCGAACCGTCGAGGATTGGCGGCAGCGACTCCGCCAGCGCGGGCCGTGCCTGTTCCAGCGGCTCATATGTGGATCTCGGCTGATCTCGGCTGGTCTCGGCTGGTCTCGGCTGATCTCGGCTCATCTCGGCTGGGTTCGCACCTGCTGCAGCAGCTCGCGCAGCGAGAGCGCGAAGCCGGGCCACCGGGTGCGCAGGTGCGCCCAGGCGGTCGGCAGGGTGGCTGGCGTGATGAGGCCGTGAGAGATGGCGCAGGAGAGCTCGACCTGCGAGGCGAGACAAGGCGAGGTGAGGATGGGCGAAGCTGGACGGGAGAGGGCGCAGGAGAGGTCGGTTACGGACGGCGTGGGCCTACACCTCGCGTACATCTCGGCACATCTCGCGGCACATCTCGGCTGATCTGGTGGCGAGATCACACGTTGAGGACGGCGTGGTGCCAGCCCGCAGGCACGTAGACGAGCTCGCCGGCCCGCTGGAGGCACTCGCGGACGCGCAGCCTGCTCGCAGCACGCCGTGAAGAGGCGCCCTTCACGGCTGGAAGGACCTCTCGCCCCGCCCCGCCTTCCCTCTGCGGCGGCTGCTCGGAGAGGCGCGAGGTGGGCTTCGAACCAGCTGTCGACGCCGTGGCTGTACGGCGCGAGACCCAGCCCGTGCACGTCGGTGTCGGGAGGCAGCAGCAGCCAGCGCTTGCAGCCTATTGCCATACCGCCGTCGGCGCCTCAGGCCGTCTGTGCAGAGCGGTGCATCACTCGCAGCTGTTGCGGTTGTGGACCGAAAAGGCAGACGCTCCAGCCGCAGGTCATGCGTGTGTCATCGTGGAGCTTGCTGCCCGTCCTGGGTCCGCCGACGAACCAGTGTGGCCGGCTGATCGTGCCGGGGATCTCGTCGAGCGCGTCCGCAAAGCCGGGAGGCCGGGTGTAGTCGCTGAGTAGGACGGCTTTCTCTCCGTTGAACGCAGTCTCGACGAGGTAGCGACCGCCGTCCTGCGCAGTTTCAGCGAGGAAGTCGGCGAGCCTCGTGTGCGTGCCAGCGGCGACCTCAAACTCGAGATGGCCGTAGTGCTCGGCTAGCAGCGAAGGGCTCCCCCAACGTGACGCGGCTCGCCACCCGTCGGCGACGCCGCGGAAGAGCTTTGGCTCATCGTCCGCTACAAGCTCGCTCTCGGTGAGCTCGGCCAGCGGGTGGCGTCGGATGGCAGTGGCGGGAGGAGGCTCTTTGGAATGGTCGGACATAGACGCGCTAGTAGCTGGCGCGATTTGGTGCCAAGCACGATTCGCCGCGTTTTTCTTGCGTTTTTCTTGGAGAGAAAAAGAATTTTATGCCGCAGATGGCTTGTGGCAGGGGCAGGTGTCAGGCGCGGAACCGAGCCGGGGTTGTTAGGGGCTTTTCCTCCTTCCCACTGTTTGCTAATGAGGGATGAATTCGCGCCATCCATAGTTGTGGACCGACGGACGCCGTTTTACATACCGACGGACGCCGGCGATATGACGATCGGCGCCCTGCTTGCGTCAGTGGCCTCCGCCACCCGAGTCACCGAGCGGCAGCCGCCGCAGCCGGACGACGGGGTGAAAGACGACGGGGTGAAAGGGGCCTTGCACGGTGCGCCGAAGCCGGTGACTCGGGAAGAGGCTTTTGCTCTGGCGGCTGCGTTAGCAGGTGCGCCGCACGCCCTGCCCAGCCCTGCCTCCTTATCACAGCCCCCGCATAGTGACGCCGCCCTCACCCTCTGCAGCATCCACCGGGACGACGGTAGACAAGGACGAGCACTTGCGCACATTGCAAGACGAGTACTACTTCAGGTATACACAGACTCTGCTGCCGTCGGACGAGCGCCGTAAGGAGCTGTGGGCAAAACTGCGGACGCAGTGGCACCGGGCCAATGACGATCCAAACAGGCCCTCGCGGCGCAGCCACAAGAGGCGCAACGCCGACACCACCAACGAGGCGATTCCTGCTGCCCGACCACGCGGTGCATGGTCGCAGGCGGCGATTGCCGCTGCCGCCCCCATGCTTTCAATCGCGCAGGCTGCCGCTGCCGCCCCCATGCCGCTGCCGATGCCGGTTCTTGCCGCGCAGACTGCCGCCTACGTCGTCCCCGGCCTTACCTACCCCGCCACTGCCCTCGCTGGCTTGTCGCTGTTGCCGTATCTCAGCCAAACCGCCGCCGCTCTCGGGCAGCCTGTGTACTATGCCATGGCAGTAGAGCGAACGAGATACCAGCTCGAGCTTCATGCACGGACGCAGCAGGCCGATGCAGCGAAGCAGCAGGCCGATGCAGAGCTAGCCAGCGCCATAGCCAGAACCCAGGTTCTCGAAGCCAGGGTTGCGGCGATGGAGGCTCAGCTGAATACCGACCCGCCGGCGCCGCCGCCGCCGCCGCCGCCGCCGCCGCAGCCGGCGCCGCCACCGCCGCCGCAGCAGCCGCCGCAGCCGCAGCCGTCGCCTCGATCGGACTTTGGCCTCTGGCTGCTGCCTCGCGACAGAGGACCGATTTACTTGAGGCGAAAGGGGGCCGCAGAGTGGGCCCGGTGGCACAAGCAGAGCCAGTCTGGTCCATGCCGGCAGCCCTCAAAGCCCTTGCCCGTTGCGGACATCACCACCTACCCGCCCGCGGCACAGCAGCAGTTTGAGGCTGAGGCAGAGAGGAGGGCATCCGAGGCGTTGGCGGAGGCAGCTGAGGGTGAGAGCGAGGTCGAGGGGTGCATCGACCTGGACGAAGAGAGTGAAGTGGAGGAGGTGGCACCGCCACCGCCACCACCACGCGTCTCTTTTGTGGTGTCGGATGGCGAGGACGAGGTGCAGGGCACAGCATCAGCGGGTGGCCTGCACGAGCTACCGCACCTTCGCGCGTGTTGTTTACAACACCCTTTCGTGCGGACCCACGGCAAGCGGCCGCACCAGGGCAATGCTGCGACTTGCAGCCGTTGCTACTGCTACATCTGCGATCGGCCTGCCGCGGAGTGCCCACGGTGGCGGAGCGAGGACCCGAAAGCACCGAGCCACTGCAATGCACATAGCGGGCACAAGCAGTGGCGGCTGCTGCAAGGCCGTGCCAAGAGGCAGCGCGAAAGGGGTGTGTCGGCGTGAGGTTTGTGCTGTGAGGTTTGTGCTATGTTGACCTCTCTGTCTCTCCCGTCTCTCCCGCCCCCGCGGCCGCGCGTGAAATAGTATTCACTGGTGTTGCCGTTAGGATGGTGTGCGCGCCAGTCCACACCCGCGCGAAAAGAAAATGTAAAGCTTTAGTCCTGCATCTTCTGCGGATATTTCTTTTCGTGGAACAGAGATCTCAGTTCCAAAAAAAACGCGGCTAGGGGCTCTGTGGGAGATTCATTCAGATGGTGCACGCTCCTTCAGACACTTCATCTTCAAAAACTCTCTTACTAATCTCCTATATGTGTCTTGATTTGCCAACAACAAACCTAAAACAATCTCCTATCTCCAGCTTTCTGTGATGAAAGACACGCATATACACGTAGAGGCCTCTCTTGTGGTCTCGTATAGAGGCGCGGGCGTTTACCGCTGCCGTTTATACTGTATAAAGCATTCTCGCCAGGACGCAGGAGCAGAGACTTTCTTCTTTGAGACATTAACACACGACCCGGTACGTAACACGCGTGACCCCCCTCTCCACGGTGGCGTCACGCCTGCACCACTCACCCGTCCCCCTCCTCCGAAAGCCCGATGACGGCGCCGAATGCCTCGAAGAGCGAGCCGATTGGGATGGCGGCGATGGCGATGCCGGCGATGCACATGAACGCGGCGACCGCCCTGCCTCCGAGCGTGAAGTCGCACACGCCCCACTCGCCGCAGAGAAATATGGCCGTCATGTAAAGCGCGTCGGGCATGTGCGCAAACGTCTCTTGCGAGCAGCTGCCCGGGTGCGCCGTGTTGCACGCGGTGGTCGAGGGGAAGGAGAAGCACTCGGCCGGCGAGAGGCCTGTTCGCAGGCGGAGGCGTGAGGAGGCGGCCCCCCTCCCTGGGAGCAGCACTTAGCGCAGCGAGGTGCCGTCGCACTCGCGGTAGTTTGGGTTGTGCTGCTCGAAGAGGAAGAAGAGGGCTGCCCCTCCCACCCAGATGATGAGCGCCATCAGGCCGGTGGCCACCAGCACGTCTGCCGACGCGCGCAGCACGTTGTCGAGCAGCGTGAAGGCGGTGAGGAAGCGCTCGAGCTGCAGGACGCGGAAGAGACGGAAGATGCGGAAGACGGCCGCCGCGTCCGACGAGCTGCCGGCGAGCCCCAGCGCGAGGCTCGCCTGCTGCACGTACCACGGCAAGAAGGAGAGCAGGTCGACGATTCCTGCAGCCGAGACGGGGCCGAGGTGAGGCAGAGATGCTGCCGCGGTGGGCACGGCGAGACGGCGAGCATGCACCAAAGAAGGTCGTCGCGTAGTAGACGGGCGAGTAGAGGTGGCGCTTGTCCTTGGCGGCCGAGAAGATGCGCGCGCAATACTCGCCCGAGAAGACGAAGCACGAGACGGCCTCCAGCACCTGCTCACAAGCAGGCGTGTGAGCAAGCGCGGCTCGCAGCAGGCGACGCGCGAGAGGGCGGTACGTCGAAGAAGTTGTGCGGCTCGTTGCCGACCCACCGGTCAACCTGGCGGGACGTGAGGACGGGGAGGGCGACTCGCGCCCTTCTCTTCCCTCCCTCCACCTTCCCGCCCCCGCCCGCCACCCACTCTCGGGGGGCTGATCGCGGCGGAGGGACGGCCTGCGGGACAGTCTCGGCGGCGACGGCAACGAGGTTCGCTAGGATGAGGACGAGGATGCCTGCCGCCTCGAGGCAGCCGAGAGTCAGCCGAGAGTCAGGGAGCGTCAGGAGTGCAGGACGAGGATACCGCTGCGGAAGGCGCCCGACGCTGCGCTGCGACGCAACGAGCCGTCTCCGTTGAGGAAAGTGTTGACCTGCTCCTGCAGCGCGTCCACCTTTGGCCCCCAGCGAGAGCGCGGCGGCGGCAAGCCCTCCAAGGCCGCGTACGCCGTCTCAAAGTAGCCGTCGCCCGACTCGCCCGTCTCGTGCCGCTCGTCGACCACCTATCCGAGGTGCGGACGAGGTGCGGCCGAGGGGCGGCCGAGGGGCGGCCGAGGGGCGGCCGTGATGTAAAGCCGAGGTATGGCTAAGGAGGAGCCGGCCTGCTGGAACCCCGAGGCGATGAGGCCCGACGGCACCGACACGACTCCGACGGCGGCCACGACCATGAGGAAGCAGGTGACGCGGCCGGCGGCGGAGTAAGTCACGATCGGGTAGTCGCCTGTCTAGAGACGGAAGCGTGAGGCGACGCCGCTCGCGGCAGAGTGGTGGGTCAAGGGTAGTCGGCCAGTGAGGTGGATGAGGGTGTAGAAGGATGCGCCGCCCCACGAGCCGAACCTACACTCCGGGTGAAGTCGGGTCCTCTCGGCTGTTCTCGGGGAGGACAGAAACGCCGCCGCCCCAATCGAGCCGGTCCGCCATCGTGCAATCCTCGATGCAGCCGTACGAGGGTAGGGGGTCGTCGAGCTCGTTCGCCGTGTCGGCGTGCTCGCACAGCCAGAGCAGCGACGAAAAGAGCAGCCACAGCGCGAGGGAGGCGCCGGCGGCGAGCAGGAGGGGCTGCCGCTTGAGCCGGACCACGTCGTCGATGAGGGTGATCGAGGGCACGTACTTGTCGAGCTTGAGCAGCCGCAGCAGCCGCAGCATCCGGAAGTAGGCGTCGTGCTCGTCCACCTGTGCGAGAGGAGCCGAGATGAGCCGAGATTCCTCGAGGTCGGGGCGAGGGCCGCGCGCTGCTCGTCCACCCAGCCGCCCGGCGCCGCCTGCGCGATGTAGAAGGGGATCACGGCGAGGAGATCGACCGCCTGTTCATGAAGCAATCGACGGTCATTCGGCATCTTGGGGGGCGACTACGAGGAGGCCGACCACCGAGTAGAAGGAGAAGACGAAGCGGAGCCGCGCCTGGCCAAGCAGTGGATCGATCATTCCCTCCGGCGCCCGAGGCGATGGGGGAGAGAGAGAGGCGGAGACGCACCCGGCCGCCGCCGCCGAGGTCGGGGTCGGCGGGAGCACTGAGCAGCCGCAGCAGGTACTCGACGGTGAAGAGCAGGACCTGTTCACAGCCAGAGGCGTGAGGAGACGCTGTTCACGGCGGCAGGCACTTGACGGTGGCAGGACCGAAGCCCACTCGGCCGCCGCAAAGAGCGAGCACTCCGTCGTCGCCGCCGCCGCGCCGTCGCACTCGTACTCCGGCAGCGTCTCGAGGATGGCGAGGCCGACCGAGAGAAAGATGACGCCAAAGATGACTCGCAGCGCCGCGCCGCTCGAGAGGGCGGCGTGGATGGCGGCGTAGAGCGGCGGCGGCGCGTCGAGCGGTGTCGCGTCGGCCGCCGCCGCACTCGCGTCCTTGGTGCGCCCCTCGACGAGCTGCTCGAAGGAGGCGCCAACGAGGCCGATCGGGATGCCTGAGGAGTTGGGGGGTAGAGGGTGGGTGGTTCATCACTCGCGGGTCAGGCCGGCGAGGCCGGTCTCGATGCCGAAGAGCCCCGTCGCGACGATCGCCATGAGGGCGGCGAGGAGCTTGCCGGCGGTCGAGTAGTGGCAGAGCGGCGATTCGCCCGACAGGTTGAGCAGCGTGAGCCACATCGCGTCGGGGATGGTCTTGTAGCTGCCGGCCATCTCCGCGTCCAGCGAGCCGCGCTCCGCAAAGTACATCCCCGTGGCGAAGGCGACCTAGCCACAGCACGGCTTCATGAAGAGGCCCCGAAGCACCCTCACAGTGCATCCCCGTGGCGAAGGCGACCCAGACGAGAAGCGCGCCGAAGCCCGCCACCGAGAGCAGCGGCAGCGCCTCGCCGAGCTGCGCCGCGAAGGCGCGCGCCACGCCCACCTCTGCGCGAGGCGGCGGTGCATGCACGTCCATGTGCAGGTGCCGCTCGTCGAGGAAGCGATCGCGCTCCGTGACGAGGTGCCTGCTCTCCAAGTGCCGCACCGAGGCGCGCTCGTTCTCCGCCTAGGGGGCAGCCACCTCGTGCTGGCCACAGTGCAGCGAGGCCCCCTCCGCCTCGTCGAAGTCAGGCCGTGTGTGGACCGCTACCTCCAGCTGCAAACTAGCTGCAGCTAGCAAGGCGCCTCGCTGACGAGGTGCGTCAGGTTGTCGATGCTCGCACGGACGCCCGTCTCGCCGTCCGCTGCCTTCCGCTTCTCGAGCACCACCTGGAAGCCGTTGCCGACGATAGAGGCGGGGATCGCGAAGAAGGCTACGGCGACGAGGGCGACGAGCGTGGCGAGGAGCTTGCCGGCGGGCGAGTGCTGCTGTACGAGCGGGAACTCGCCGAAGAGGTTGAGGAGGGTGAGGAAGAGGGCGGACGGGATCGACTCGAACAGGCTCGAACAGGGCGGTCCGCCCTCATCCCCTTCCTTGGCCGCGCAGCCGGCCTCGGAGCAGTCCACCAGCCCCCACTCGTCGAAGGAGCACGCGCCAGTGTCGACGTCGGGGCAGGCGGCGCAGTAGATCATCTTCGGGTTGCGCCGCTCGGCGAGGTAGTAGAGGGACGAGCAGATGGTCCAGATGACCGTCCCCACAAAGGCGGCCGTCCGCAGTAGCCCGCCGCGGGAGAGCTCCTCGTGAAGCTCGTCGAGCAGCGTGAAGGACTCGACGTACCGCCCCTCCAGCCTCATCATGCGCGCGAGGCGCAGCATCCGGATCGCCTGCGAGGCGGGCAGGTTCCCCTCGATGAAGAAGTCGAGGTAGAAGGGCAGAGTCGAGACGAGGTCGACAAGAGCGTAGAAGGAGACGGCGAAGCGGAGGCGACCGCACGCGCCGGCGTAGGCGGCGTCGGCCTCCGGCGCAGTGGCCAGCCGCGCAAAGTAGTCGACGGTGAAGACTGCGACGGTCAGGATCTCAAACACGGAGGTGCCGAGGAGGCCGTTGTCGTCGTCGTTGCCAAAGAACCACCGGTCGAGGCCTCGACAGCGGTCCGCCGCGCAGAGCTGGTACGGGCCGTCAGGGTTGTACTTCGGGTGGAAGACGGTCGAGAGAACGAACGTGAGCACGTTCAGTCCGATGAGGACTACGGTGACGCGCTGGTAGCGCCGTCCGGCCGTGCTTCGGCCCTCGAGAAAGTCGTAGACCTGGCGGTTGGCCGAACATGGGATCATCCATGCACCGTTCGGCCGACCCGGGGTTGGACTCCTCGCGGCCTCGGTGACACCCTCACTCTCGAGGTTCTCGAGGTGGATATCCTTTGGCCGCGTTGGGTAGCGAGGATTGGTGTAACCCGAGCCACGGAGGCGTGTTTTCTGACGGCCGACCGTCAGTGCACGGAGTTGCCCCTTCTCCGACTGCCCACTAGAGTGTGCGTGTCGAGTGTCGTCATCATATCCTGTCCAGCGTCCACCCATACCGCGTTGGTGTCCAGTCCGAGCCTGGCTGTTCTTCACCTTCCTACATACATACATTAGAGTGTGTCTTGTGTGTGTGAGAGAGCTCCTCGCTCATTGAGACCCATGTCGGCACATGTGTGGACTCGTGGGATTCAAAAAACTTGCTCCTTGCTGCGCGCCATCCTCGCGCGGCCGCTTCTTGCGCCGCGACTGCAACTCGTGAACTGCTCGTGAAGTCGTCGGGGCGACCTTTCGAGCTCTCGCTGGAGTCGCTCCATCTGTTGACGCTTGCGGCGCTGTTCTCGAAACGGGTGCCCCGGCTAGACGACGTCCATGCAAGAGAGCGGCCGCACACTGCTCGGTACCCCCCCTGCACAACTAAGCTCATCCCTGCTGCTAGGGGGGGGGGTCTGACCCCCCCAGCAGCAGAGCGCTGCTGCTGGGGGGGGGGTCCGGACCCCCCCAGCAGCAGAGCGCACTGGACCAGCTCTCCCGCCTCTTCGCCGCCGCCCCCCCCTCCACCCTCGGCTCGTGTTTGAGCGGTACGCTCGAGGTGGTTGTGTTCACCGCGCCTTCGAGCCCAATACACCTTCGTCGTGTCGAGTGCTGGCGTTTTTTACAAACACTTGTGACCATGTGAGTCTATCTTGTAATACCACACGCGCCTATACATCAGTGTAGTCTCATCATCGAGTGATTGCTGGCTTGTGGCGTATGACCTCGCGCGGATATCACCAACGACGAGCATGCGAAGATGGGAACAATATCTTGTACAGCCCGCTGTGCTCCCCGCTGTGCCACGGCGTATGATGGGCTGCGAGAGCCGTATCTTCCCCCCTTGAAGCAGAGGCGCCGCGAGGCACGAGAGGCGTAGAAGAGAGGCTGGCGTGCCCCGCACCTCCCGGTTGGCAGTAGGAGGGCCCGCCGGTGAGACCACTGATTTTGGTGCCGACCATAATTCTCGCCACTGGAACGCATGCTACTTTACAGCTGCTGTCTGTACAGAGATGCCAGCACCCCCCACAGGCAGAGCGCTCCTGCTGGGGGGGGGGTCCGGACCCCCCCAGCAGCAGAGCGCTGCTGCTGGGGGGGGGGGTCCCGAACCCCCCAGCAGCAGAGCGCTGCTGCTTGGGGGGGGGGTCGGCCATGCGCTTAGTTGTGCAGGGGGGGTACCGAGCAGTGTGCGGCCGCTCAAAACGGGCTCTGTAAGAAGCCGAGCCCCGTAATGTCGGGGCCTGTACCGCCGCTTCGTCGTTCGTTCCATACACCACACTGGGGTGGTAACGCCCCCGAACTCGAGGTGCGTGGCGGCACAAGTGTGTCGAACACCGCGGGTGGCCGCCACGCACCTCGAGGCCATGGGTGGGGGCCTTGTATGTAGGGAGTGAGTGTGACCCGCGGTGCTTCCCCCCCCTCCCTCCCTCCCTGCTGCGGCCGCACACACGCGCACACACTGACTCACAGATGCGACGCAACCACCCCTCACAACACTTGTGGGGAGTGCGCGCGCAACCGACCGCAAGCGGGTCGCTCCATCCATCCAGAAATCTCCCACCCAATCAATTCCCCAACCTCTCCCGCGCCTCGCTGCACGCCGGTCTGGCGAGACACGCAAGCTGGGACCGCGGCGTGAGATGAGAGCCTCTGAGAAAGAGAGCATCGCAGCCAGCGCTGAAGATCCGCCCAATTACGATGAATGAAAAGGAAGTATAAGCAACCCGCGAAATGCCCCAAAAATTGCTACCGGCAGGCGAGCAAGTAGTTCCGCATTGGTCGCCGCGCTCTGGTTGCCGCCTCCCCTGAGCATCTCAAACAAAGCAGGGATGGCGATCGAGGCGCGACCTGCGTCAGCAGGACTACCCCTCATCTTCTGGCTCCTCAATTGTGTGCGCAACGCCGGGGCGCAGTGCGGCTTCGCCACCAAGGACCCGCACCTACACTTCGCACATGGAGGCCGGGCAGACTTCAGAGGACGCAACGGGAGGTTCTATACCTTCTTCTCGGTGCCCGGCCTCTCAGTCAATGTCAAGACAGAGGACGCCACCTTCAAAATGCCTGCTCAACACCTTGTTGTTGACGGCTCCTTCATCACCGAGGTGCACGTGGTCGCGCGTGTCGGCGGTGCCAAGCGGAAGCACGCCACCGCCTCGTTCTGGGCCTCAGAGCTCAATGAGTTCAACACTGGGTGGCGGGTCATCAACGGGACCTGCGGCGCCAAGGGGAAGTTTGTCCTCGGCATGGGCGACACTCGCTCATGCGAGGACCTCAAGGTCAGGCTCGGCTTCTCTACCGGAACGTTCACCTTTGGCCAGTGGTTGGTCAAGGTCCAGGGCAACTTTGTGTATGGGCACATGAAGGGGCCAGCCCACCGGCTTGACCTGAGTTTCCGCGGCCGTGGCGACGTGGCAGAGCGCCAGCTGCCGCATGGCATCATCGGCCAGTCCTTCTCGTCGACACAACCGCGGTTTGGCAAGGTGGACGACTACCCGCCGTCGGGCCACTTTGTGACAGATGCGATGGCGGAGGGCGCGATCGAGGGGATGGCAGCCATGTACGAGGTGGCGTCGCGGCACTCTACCCGTTTCGCTTTCTCACGCTTCGATGCCGTCGAGAGCTCGCCTCCGGACGGCACACTCCTGTCCGCCGAGGGGGGAGTCGCTGCAGAGGCTTCTGCCAGCGACCTGGAGGCTGCGCTGCGTGTCGCTCCTCGCCGGCTTGCCGAGTTGCCGTGCTCGCCTCCCTCTCCGCCCCCGCCCCCACCTCCGCTCCCGCCACCACCGTCCCCACCGCCACCCTCGGGCCTGCCGCCGCTCTCCCCGTCGCCGCCGCTCTCGCCGCCGCCGCCATCGCCGCCGCCGCCGCCGCCGTCGTCGCCGCCATCACCGCCGCCGTTTCCGCCGCCAATCCCGCCACTGCTGCCGGGCGAGAAGGTAGCGTCCACGATTGCCTTCACCATCAAACTCGGCACCCTGGGCACGCCGTCAGAGCTCCGGACGCCCCACGAACCACAAACCGCCCTTCCGGCGTCCACAGAGGCAAAGATGTACGGCATCGACGTCACCGCGGGTCAGAGGCCAGAGGTGGTGCGATGGCAGTTGTCTTGCCGCGGGATAATGCTGTTGGCGGGAGGCGCTCCCTTCACCGCCATCGTGCCCGCCATTCCGGGCACGACATGTTCGCTAGAGATGTACGGTAGCAACTGGTATGGTGCCACTTGGGCAGGGCTCGGGCAGAGCGGCCTCGAGCCTACCCTGGCGCCGTCGCCATCATGACTGGGGCGACGACTCGGCGGGAATTGCCTTTGAGCGTCCTCCCCTACTCACCCGCACCCTCGAGCCCACATCTCTACCCACCACACCCCGTCCGTCCCAACCCTGCTTCCTATGTGTACTTTATATCCTACTGGACGTACGCGTTATCCGGTAAGTCTACAACCCACAAGCTCCGCGACTTATGCGATGTCCTTGCTTGTGTGGGTTGTGGGTCGCGGCGGGGTTGGGCTACGGCTCTAAATTGATCCCTGGTCCTCTGGACGATTTTTTCACGGTATCTCCGCGGCGAGGTATATGGCGGGATACCGTACCGCGGGATACCGCGGCCGATACTGCGGGATACTGGGAGATACCGGAAGATGATGACGAGATTACGGGGGGATATCGGGGGATACGCTCGAGAGATACGGGGAGATACGGGGAGATACGGACAAATGTGCGGGGAGAGATACGGGGAGATAGAGCGCTATAGTCCCTATATAGAGAGGGGAATATGTGCGGCTTAACCGTTTTACGGATTACGCGGAGATACTCATACTGACGTAGACGGTAGTGGGTAGAGGGAGATACGGGGGGAGATAGCGCAAAAAAATCGTCCAGACTAGGCGACTATAATTGCCTTTTTGATGGGGCGCCGGTACGTACATACTTGAACGGTATCGTTCATAATATTTTTAACGTAGCAGAAGCAGAGGAGAGTTACTGTCCCTCAGGCCGCATCGCTGCCAACGCTGCGAGGGCGGCGGCGTTGAGCCCGCCTCCTGCGCCCCCCGCCGCCGCCCCGCCGCCGCGGCCGCCGAAGCCGCCTCCTCTGCCGGCGGCGAAGCCCTTGCCGCCGGCAAAGCCCTTGCCGCCCCCCTTGCCGACGTCGCCGTCGCCGCGCCCGCGCCCGCCGCCCCCGAACGGCGCGCCAACCTCCGTCGCCTCCTCCTCGTCCCGGGGGGCAGTTCTGGGCTCGCCCGGCCGAGCGCGGCTCCAGAACTTGGTGTGCATGTCCTGCGAGAAGGAGGCGAGCAAGTGGCCAAGTGGGTGCCTGCGGGGACGCTCCGGCGAGGCTCAGCCGGGAGGAAGCAGAGAGGAGGGCGGCGAGGGAGCCGAGCGCCACTCCACGCCCCACACGGCCGAGTCGTGCGCGTTCGACGCGTGGCCGTGCCCGTGGCAGGAGGAGAGCGGCTCCTCGGGCCGCGTCGTGGACCAAAAGTGGACCGCGCCGCCGTGGCATCCGGAGGCGAAGAGCTCCGCGTGCACCTGTTCACGGCGAGCGGCGTGGAGAGACGCCGTTCACGGGTCCGGGTGTGAAGAGGAGCGCGAGCACCGGGTGCCACGAGAGGGCGGAGACCTGAGACGGGTTGGGGTGGAAGGTTGGGGGAGGGGGTGTGAGGGCGGAAGGCGGAGAGTGTGGAGTGCAGCGAGGGAAGGGGCGGGTCGCCTCGCGCTTGTGCCCCTTGAAGGCGGCGGCCTGAGGGAGGGGGGGGGTGGGGGTCGGATGTGGGGGTAGGCGAAGAAGGCCAGGAAGAGGGGGGCGGGGGGG